CTTTTGTTGCACTTTCTCAGCACTGCTTATTTCCTTTCACTTGAGGCATCTTCTTCGTACCCCACACAGTTTCTTTTTTAATCATTATTTTCATCAGCTTAACTGGTAGTTTTCCCATGAGGCACAGTATCAATTGCTTTATTAAAGTCAGAATAGATTAAGTCTACTGAATTTCTTTTATACAAAATATCCTGTCTAGAAAAGCACAAGTCTAGTTTAACCTACCTTTTGCAAACCTGTGGTACATTTTATTTTATTTTCTGTTCATTTTATATCCTTAGTTAGTAATTTCTTCAAATTTTGTTTCAGTTAATAATTTTCAATCTCTCTTTTCCCTTCCCCCTTGTCTGCCAGCATTAGATTTCTTGTCGTCATTTTTCAGTAAGGCTCTGAAATGCAGAGTCTTAAAATATTCTGTTTTTTAAAAAATACTTTTTATTGTCTGAATTTTCAAGTGCCAGTTTTCTCTCCATCTGATAGGTGAGTTATTCATATCAGGAAGTGCTGGGAATATGAGTTCTTTCCCCCTTCAAAGTGAAATTAGAAGTGAGGAAAAGAAGGAAAATACCAACTGCTTGTATCTGTGTTGCCAAAATCAGAATATAAAAATCATATATTAAATGCTTTGATGATCAGCTGGAAAAAAATGAGATTTTTCTTCTGCTTTTACCTTTTTGATTTTGTTATTTCTGTGACTTTTGATGAGCCAAGACTCCCTTTTTTGAAGAAAAAAAAAAACACAACTTGTGATTTCCCAATGAAGGCAATTCCATCGAATACTATGATAAATTTTAAAAACTGGAAAATATTGTAGCATGACACACTTAATAAAACGGTAGGTCATGGAGTAGGAGATGTAAACTCTAATTTTTTACAAATCTCATAATCTTTCTGTACTTAGCTAATAATGGTAATTAATTCTATTTTTTTCCCCTAGAATTTAAATGCTATTGAAATCATAGAAAGCAATTATGGAAAGACTGCTTTCAGCTTCATAATTAAAGCTAAATTCTACTATTTGTATAAGGCTAGATTTTTTTTTTTAATCAGAAAAATATAGAATGTCTTCCATATCTACCTCCTTACCTTTTCATGCAGAATTAATTCTGTGAGAAATTGCACAAAACTTTAGCACAGTCAAGTCTAAATTATATGTGGGTAGTCATACAGTCTTGGGTTAACTCTTCAGAGTCAGTTCGTGTTTAGTAATGTACTAGCTTCAAGCAATCTTTCAAGTTTCACGTGTTAAAAAGACCAAATGAATGGGCCCTGCTGGAGCAGAGTTGGCTCCATAAAGCTCAAATTATGATGTGTCTGTATTATCAATTACATTATGTCCTGGTTTACTGTAAGTCCACTGAGTCTGTGAACTTGGGAGCTTCTCAGCATACTTGCCATTTTTCCAATACCTGTGCCTGGAGACAGGTTGGCTTTCCTGAGTCTCTGGTTCTGGACATGCTTGTTTGAAGAAAAGGAGGAAGGATGAAATATGAGGCAGGGAAAACAAGTGACAGATGTATGCTGTGTCACTGAGGGGGAAACTGGCAGACCAGAGACAGGAGTCTCCTAGTTGAATTGTATTCATAACCAAGAAAAAAATTCCTCTTTAATCAGCATATTCCTGTGGTCAGCAAATGTCAATGAGAAATTAATCACATGTGTTTAACAGCTTACATGCTGGGGAGAAAATGAGAGAGGTGAATTGTGCATTTGTCTTCAAGGATAAACTCTCTTGTGGAAAGCAAGCTTAAGTTAGGTTTTAGATATCCTGATTGTCTCAAAAAGGAGGACTGGGGAGAAGTTCCCTGACCTGTGTGATGCAGGTGAGACTGGATGATCTGGGTCCCTTGTGGCCTGAGGCTCTGTTGGTTCATGAAGCAGTCACTTTTTCATTTCAGTAGCGGTTCACTCAGTTAACTTAGCTCATTTAACAATATTTTTTCGGTACCTGTGTGACTCACTGGTAATGCATACTTGAGAAAGCATCCATTATTTGCAAAGCCTGGTTTGCTTTTTCATTTTGGCAGGATGCGAAGCTGGAAACAGATGATTGATGGCTTTTTCTGTTTATTTTCTAAAAGATGTCAAGCAGCATATTTACTGACTCGACTCCTGCTGTAACTTGTTAGTTTGAATAGCGTAAACATATCTTAACAACCTTTAGTAATTGTTGGAAGAAAGACATCATGAATATAATGAAAACTGACAGCACTGATTTCCATTCCTGTAATTCCTTTATGCTTACAAAGACAAGCATAGTATTTGGCTCAGGTGTTTCGGAGGTTCTAAAACTTCCACATAAGAATTCATTGCTACTCGTATTTCATATATGCTACTTGCTTGGTTTAAAAAAAAGAAAGTTAATATTTTATTCTTTATTTCTCAAATTACTTCATAGCCCCTTGTGTATATGCACATGTAAATGGTGGGTATCCATTGCCTTATTCAATGTAATTGGTACTTGCCTGAGACCCTATTTCTCTTCATTGTGATCTTACCACAGTAGTGGAGCAGGATAATCTCACAGTTAGGTGGTAAAGCTTTATTGTCCTGCTCTCCCTAGTGATAATGGTATCTGTTCAATAGCCATTTTTAGGCCATCTTGAGCTAATTGCAAGTGTGGAATAAGTGAATTTATTGCAGTGCAAAAATGTAACATGAGATTCAATGTAATTATTAGAATTACTTTCTTAATAATTTAGAGCAGCCCTTATAGGATAAAATTTTTGAATGTTTTACAGCTTATTTTGTTTTATTAGCAATGTATGCAATTATGAATGCAATTATTTTGTTTACTTGGTTAGTGGTCGTAATGAAGATCAGGCTGAGTTTGCAATAAAATGAGTTGTTTATGCTGAAATCACATGTTCCAGTCATGCTCTGTATTAATATCACCAGTTTATTCCTAGGACTCATTAACATCAGTGACACTGCTAGTGATGTATATTATCTGTATGAATTGTACTTGCAGCGTTCAGGGAGAGGAGGACACTGACCACTAGAAGAAAGAACCATTTTGGTCCAGGATAAGTGTAGAAACCACTGGTTTAGTCTGAATCCAATAATAATCTTTATAATATAAAATCTTAATAATAGGCACTTGGCCAATTCTTTCTAATCTCTCTTGATTCAGTATGTTTGTTGTTATATAGTCATTGTACAGTATAAAAATTGTAAAGGCAATACAGTACAGTATTGATAACAGTGATTTTGGCAGCATGAGTGTAGTTTTGTGCCTGGTATATGCTTTGTGCTTGACCCATGTTCCTACACTAACTCTTTCTTGAGCTAAATTCTGGTTTTAGAAAAAAAATTATTTCAACGTCTGGCTATGTGGTCTCTTTTAATAAGATTTGAAAAAATTCTTTGTAGTTGCTTCAATAATGAATTTTCCTACTTGATTTATGCATGAAAACAATGTGGGGTTTTAGTCACTTTGAAGTAAATGTTTGCTGGAGATTCTAATCCAGTGTTTCTTCAAAAATTGCATCAAAGCAATATATTTCATCACTGTAATATTTTATGTATGTTAGTGCTGGAGAACTAGACATGGTCATCTGCCTTTAAAATGTCTGTAATGTTGCTTTGACTTGCTAGAAATATTAAGTGTTAAAAATATTTATTTCATTCAGATTGATATTCTTACTAATTCCAAGTAATACTAATTACTAATTAATTAAAACCTCACTAATACCAATCAATACTAATACCAAGGAGATTATGTCAACTGTTTAATTAATCTGCTAATGTTCAATGTAATGATGAATGGAAAGTGGGAAGGAAATATCAGCAGAATTTTCTGCGTATGAAGATGTGCATTCACACGATTTGCTATCCATGTGATCCATAAACATGGAAAAAAAATGAGAAAATAGAACTCCTGAAACCTCACTGACCTTGTTATCAGCCTTATAAGTTCTCTGCAAACATAGTTAATGTGACCATACTTTTTATCTGATTATATTGTACATCATTTCCATCATCCCATTATTTACACTTAGTAACAAGAGCTTTGTTAAATACACAAGCTCTAAAAGCTAATGCTGAAGTTATCCCTAACGATGCAAATTACGTATTTGGCCAAGTTACTTTTATTGATTAAAATATGTTCATAAAAATTCTGTGTGACTCTTCCCTTATCTTCTGTGATTCTTTCTGAAATCTAGTGCTATGATTTTTTAAATTGCAAACTAATAGTTGTTTAATTTCCCTGTATTTTAGTTATATTTGGTTTACCTTTGTTGTTTCCTTTCTTTTTGAAATCTTCTGAGTAGAATGAGTGAGCCTCATGTCATTTGCAGCTTTTGCATTTGTGCTTATTTTAGGTGGAATGTTTAGTAGGCTTGTGTTAATTCTGTAATAATATCCTTATTTCATAATGCTACATTGTACTATGGTATTGAAAAGAGTGCAGATTCGCCTTTACTGATGAACAGCAGGTAAAAAATTAGTTATTTGAATAATTAGTTGTTAGAAATTAGTTGTATGAATTATTGTGATTTGCATTTTTCTTATTTTTAAATATACCTGAAATGCAATGTCTTCTTTTGATGAAATATTTGGAATTTTTGACTGCTACAAAAGGTACGAATTTTGCTGATGACAGTAATGAGTCATCTGATGAGAAGACATTGTACTGATAATAACAAAAAAGGTCTCCACTATCTGCCGTCTTTGTATATATGGCCTTGAAGAGAAAAAGAACTTCCTTGTTGCAAAAGTTAAGCATCTAATACACTGATGCACCTGTTAGTTCTCACATATTAAATCAGATAATGTTTACAGTGACCACTGATGGTCTTGTGAATTTTCTTTTTAGTGATCTGGACATTCAGCTCTGTTTATGTGAATTAAATGATTATCCTTAAAACTTGAAATTTATTTTACTTTAGAAATTTGTCAGCTTGCACCATTCCCATTAGTTTCTGACATCATTTTCTCTTACTGTAAATCATACTTGTCACTACAGCAATTTTGGTTTACGCTTTATATTCATATAGAGACCATGAATCAAGCAACACCTGCAAGAAAACTGGAAGAGGTTCTTCACCTTGCAGAACTGTGTATCGAAGTATTGCAGCAAAATGAAGAGCATCATTCAGAGGTGAGGCTGTAATTGCATTTTATGTAGCGAATGGTTTGTTCCTAGATTTTTTCTCCCCTGATGCAAAGCAAGTCTGTCAAGAAACATTTTGGTTTTACTTTCTGACATATGTTTAAGGCAGTTCACATTTACAGAGGAATAAGAGACTTGAAGTTTATGTAAAGTGAAGTGAAATAAAACTCTTCTTCAATTCACTTGAATGAACAGTAGGTTTAGAAACAAAAATTTAAGAGCATAAAAAAGAGAAAGCATCTTTGTGCTGGAGGTTATAGATATTAGATTACAGATAGAAAAATAATTATAGTTATAATAAACTCATTCCCATTGCTCTTCTCTTGATTGGAAAAGTAAGCTTTTAAACTTGTGCTTTTAAAAATAGCATTGTAAGGTAGAAGAAATGAAATGAAACAATTTTATGTTTCTTACCTTCGTATCTTTTGCTTCATGATGCAGAAACCATAATAGCTAGAATTCTAGCACCTCTTACGTCAAGGAATTACAAAACTTAACTTCATCAGATACACTTGTATATCTTATTGAAATTTAATTAATAAATACTGTTTTCTAAGGTTCAGGGAACTGTTTTTAAAATGTTCTCAAAAATATGCAAAGGGATAAACATTATTTAGTATATATAGTTATAAAATATGATCATTCAAAACATCTGGTTTTATATCACACTGTGGAATCTGGTTTTTAGCTTACATCTGTCATGTGTGAACTTGTTATAGATGTTTTATCTTATACTGGAGAAACAGCTTTTTTGATGATTTTAAATTAATTCCCTGGAGGTCCTGTTCTACACTGCTGTTGCCACTGTGTTACAGTGTAATGATTACTTAATAAAATGTATATATTGTGGTCTTTGTCTTTTGAGGACCTGCATGACTGTAAGAAAATCAGATTTCTGTGGAAAGGAACACAGAAACAAAACCCAGATCAAATCATACATATATGATTTAGCATCTCTGTTCAAAGATTGCTTTCTATACTACTTGTTTGAAATCAGAGGTGTGGTGTTTTTCAGAAAGGTAAATATATTGCATGTGCCTTCAGAAAAATTTATTCAGCTAAAATTCTCAATCTAATCTAAGGTACCTTGAAAAGAATAAAAATAATGCTAGTAAAACCATTGTTTTCCCCTTTCTTGATTCTTGTAATACATATTCCATTACACTGAAATTTATAGAGCATACAGAATTTCAATAGAAAATATATCTGAGAAAAAGGTTGCCAAATTATACATTCTCTACTCAAAACTGAACATTAAGTGTGGTGACTTCACAATAATGTTATGCAAATGCTCAGTGTTTGGTGCTATGGCTGACAAAAAGGATCAGTAATCTGTAAAATAATATACCACATTTTTTAATACTAGATTTTTTCTCTTTTTTTTTTAATTCATAACATTTACAAATTTCGGGGATTCCCAAAGGGAAGAGAGGTATGTGATTCCTGATGCATTAAGCATTGTTTTACTCTGCTCATAGCATGGAACTGTGCATTGGAACTGTGCATTGAACATGTAGCATAAACTGTTTTGATGATTTCTGGTGTTGCATAGCCACACTCATTTATCTTCTAGAATCTAAGAATTCCATTCTTCCTTTAATCTAGTCAATATTTCTGTTCTCCTGGAATGTGCATCACCAGTTGCTAATTGCTTTTAGCCTATTGTCTGTAATAACTGTGCTGTTACATTTAGCTCTAATTTTTTTTCCTATTCTTCTTTCTTGCTGCTCAAGTAATGATGCATAGCTCTTGAGAGAGTCAGAAGAATTTCTGTCTGGGTTCAAAGTGTCATTTAAAATGAGGAAGAACATGGAGAAAAAATGTGCTCATTTTCTAGTTTTCATTTTGCTTTGTTTTGAAATTTTGGCAATATTTTCTGAAAAGTGTTTTGCTTGCTTAGATGGGTCCCCTGCCGGTGCCTATGTACATTTTTTTTTCATGTAGTTATTTCTAGAATAAGGAGTCTGTTCCTTTAATGAACTCCTCCTAAAACAGTTCATTAATAAGAAATTCCTTCCAGTTTGACAAAAAAGACTCCATTTCAAACTCTTGCCAATGTTTTTGAAGCCTTATCTTTCCTCCTCACTATGGTGCCAGTTGTTATCCTTGAATCCTGCCACTGGAACACAAAAAGTACTTTTCAGTAATAGCAGGGGATGCTCAGCATTTCTTTAAAAGCTTTTGCCAATTCATTGTTTCTCCATTTTGCCCGTCTCAGAAAAAACTACAGGCACTCATCAGAAAGTCCATGATGCAAAAACACATTTGTAGACCACAGAAGTTGTCTTTTATTTGATGCCTTTCAGAGCTGACTGCATAATTCTACACCACCCAGGGCCTATGTTTCATAAATGAAATGAAGACTTCTATGAATTTATTTGAAGCTAGGGGGGGATTCAGCTCTTGTGTAGATCAAGCTACATATGTTCCATGCTGGCAACTCAAAAATATTCAAGATTATATATTCAGAATGAGTGGCATAAGTTTGAAAGCAATGACATCTTCCTGTGTTACATGTGTAGGCATTTCCCACTGTCAGATGTTCTTATAAACTCTGAGCAAAACACTCTCAGCAAGATTCAATGTTCATCCCATTTCATAAACTCCCTTCATTTTCGTCTTTAACTCCAGGATTACAGAGCTCCTCCAGTCCAATGCTTAACTCCAACACTGACATTTAAAAGCCTAGATTTAAGTGACATTAAAAAGGTACAATTGTTATGTCTTTAATGAAGAGCTGGCTTTACTTGCTTATAATATTTTTCACAGATTTCTTCTCCTCTTTAAGGATTGCTTAAGAATATAAATTTTTGCCAGAGAAAACTGGTCCAACATGTTCAGTTACAGAAAATGAGTGGAGACATTAGTGAACTTCTAAAGATTTATAGCATTTGCACAAGGAAAACTGGATGTCTTCCTCAGAAGAAATTGACATCTTTAAGGCAAAAAGATCACTGTCTGGCTGTTAGAAAACCCCCTCAGACTTCAAGGAATAAAATTTCACAATAAACCATGCTTTTTGATTACCAAATGAATGCAAAATGTATTAATAAAGATTTATCTTAAAAATAAAATCATCTGTTTTAGAACTTAATGAAATCAAAAGAAACATCTACATCATGTTTTCAAGGGTGAGACCTTCATGCTTTTCTTTGCTCTCTGGAAAAAAGTTGCAGACATTTATACTCCCTTTTTTATTTTTTGGTGTTACATTTTTATTCTGATCATGTTACCTTTCCCAGAATAATCTGTTTGATTTCTTACATTTTTTGATGTGAAGTTTATAAAATATTTTCACATTTTTCACTTGGCCCATTCTTCCTTCCCTAATGAGACAGCATGTGACATGACATACTCAGATGTATTCTGCCATAGAACACATCTCTTTGCTTTGACTCAGGTTTAGTAATTGTATTTTGTCATGTTTGCAGGCATTCGCTTGGTGGCCAGAATTGTTGGCTGAGCATGCAGAGAAGTTTTTATCTCTGTATTCTGTTGATATGGATTCAGCACTTGAGGCACAGCCGCAGGACTCCTGGGACAGCTTCCCACTTTTCCAGCTGCTGAATAATGCCCTCAGAAATGACAGTAAGACCTTAATTTTTTTACACACTGTTCGTGTAAGATTTTTCAATGTACTCGCACCTTAGAAATGTGTTTCTAAATAGGATAATACTCAAAATAAATGTGACAATTCCTGTTTTTATGATACATATCCTGGTATTCCATTTCCTTCAAGCTGAGCAGATTCTCTCTATCCTTGCGCCATTTCAGTCCTTATTCTGGCAGTGCATTAACCACTTGGTATTCACAAATTACTCAGTTTTGAATCAATTATGTACAAGTAATATAAGAGGTATTGATAGTTTTTAATTAATCTATATTGGTAAAATAAAGTTGTGGTTTATACTTCCTTCTAAGCCTTCTAAATTACTTTCGCACTATTTATGTCTATAAGGGTATAGTAGTGTTAGCATGAATAGAATAAAATACACATAACAAAGTTCTGTTTGGATCCTTTGTTGGTCCAATTGCAACTTCAGAAATTTATTAAAATTGCCATGATGGCAATTGAGAAGGTTGCTGAAATGTGTGCAGTAAGTTTTCAATCTTAGTGCAGATCTCAGAAGAGCTGGACTCCTGAAAGGTGGATGGTGCACTGCTTTAAGTAGTGTCCGATCATCTAAAATCCAGATTAAAAATCTGAAGCCTATATTCAGATAGGATATTCAGCCTATTTTCCTACCATCATACATTTTCAATTTAGGAAGCACATCTCTAGTTGTGATGTTATATGCACTTAAAACAATTATTTTGTTTCTGAAAACTGTGTAGGTATTTACAGTAGTCTTACAAGAAGGATCTGTGACACCAGTTTTAACTTTATTGTTGTGTCATTTGTGTTCCTTTGAGCTTTGGTTCCAACCTGAGAGAAGTGTTAGAAACAAACAAGGGTTGTCCTCACATGCAAGAGATTGCTAATAGGCTGCTGATTCTTCTTTCCTTAAAAGATTAAGCAGATAATAATACTAAATTAATAGAATAGGCTCAAGAAAGACATTGTATGAAAGCTTTCATGTTAAATCAACTATTACAAATATTGTAAAACTTTAACTGAAGGACATGAAACAACTGTTGTATGAAGTATCACACCTGTATACCAATTTCAGTAATTCCCTAATGGTAATAGATATATTAAATGACAGGTAAATTTCTGGCAGGTGAAAGCCATCTGGAAAATAACACACCTTTTTCCAGAACTACTGGAAAGCAACCATGGAAATTAGTCACCTGTTAATCAGTGGACATGTTAGCAAGTGGCAAGTGACCGTTCTACCAAGAAGTGATTCCCAAGTGGAACATACCTCAGTGCTTATTCTTTAATTAACAGCCTTTTCACCTTGTAACTGCATTAAAAGCATTAGCAAGAGCTTCCTATGCTTATATAATCAATTTTACCGTTTTCCAAAGTAAAATAAATAATTATGATTTTACCCTAGGTGAAAATCTTTTCCTGAAAACTATCCTTTATGAAGATAAAGGCATATTTAGAAAAAAATCTAAAAAGGGAAAAACTGGAATGTGGTCTCATGAGGATAAAAAGGCTAGTGTTAATAATTAACAAGGAGAGTGAAGTGGAGTAAATTAGCCATAATAGAGCCCACAGTGACTGGCAAAGTCACCTCTCATTATCAAAAAACTCATTAGGAAATGAAGAGGTGGACATCCCACTGGGTTATTCTCACTCTCTGGCTATATCAGAGATTACTTTTCAGACTTCTTTCAAATGAAGAACAGTTAGGTCACCATATTGCATATTAGGTTAATCTTCACTGAAATTTGGAGGGCTGACACCTGCATGTTATTCTATCTCAAGAGCATTAAATGAGCTCTAAATCTTTGGTGCATGAATCAGTTTTCACATAAACCTGACATGAGAGAACTCCTAACAATAAAGAAATAATCTTACATATACACCATTAAAGAAAACTTGCATGTAAAACTATTTTTATAACTATGTCACTAAAGTATAATAAAAAAACTCTGAGATAATGAAAATTCATATTCATGTATATTCAAATAATAGTGAATGTGCTATTTTACACAGTGTAAAAAGCATTGTGCAATATTCAAGGTGAATACTTCAAAGTCAATATTCACTTAACAATGGGAAAAAAATGCATTTTCCAATATGGTGTATAATTTTTTATGAAGAGAGGGGATGATGGGGAAGTCCTGACTGAAGCTTCTATTTCTTTCATGAAGGACTCAATTTTGTGTCACCTTAAGACTCTCCATTTTTTTTCTGACCTTATTCCACGAGGAAGAGTACATCAGTGATTGCATTCCCATTTAGTCTAACTGAAGAACTATAAAAAATGGTGGGAGGGAGGAGGATGTTCTTCCTATCTTGTAAAATTTTTCAGCTTTTCTCATGAGACATAACTACAGAAAGTCATTTTCAAAATTACATTCACTGTAGAAATTAATAATAAATTGAAGATAAATTTCTTGTGATTTTTCAAACTGTAAATATTTGAAAAAATTACTGTAGCTGCTTTTATAGTATACATTTTAATGATCTATTTGCTATTGCTATTGTCCACTCACAATTATGCCTGACTGTCAAGCTTTGCAGATTGTACAGTGATAGCAGTACTCAACTTCTCTCTACGATAGCAAAATTATTTTTTCCAGAATTAGATATTCATAAATATAAACATAGTTGTCCCAGGATTGGCTCTTATTTTCCGTAATGAATCTGTTGCTTTTTTCCACAGAGCCCATAAATTGCGTTGTGAAGGGACCTGCTTTAGAAGGCAGTTTACTTTCTGTAGTTGTTTAATTATTCAGGTTAATCTGGTTTTTAGTGCCCAAAAGAGAGACATGTATTAATTCCTTTTCATTTAACATGGTGTGAGAGATATCTTTTACTGGCATATGCCTGATTAGATTAAGTGTCTGCATATTTTGCTTGTTTTAGAGGTTTTCTAACTCTATATTTAGTATTCTGATAATTTCCTTACCAAGTTTTCTCTCCAAGTGTCACTTACTGACATTTTGTCCTGTGTTATTGCTCAGCACTATTGCATTGCTCCCTTGGCACGAACCAGTCAAAACTAGGAGTATTAGAAAGGTAACTCATAATCTTCATTCTCCTTCAAGTATTACTCAGTGGAATGTCTGTGCACCTGCTCTAACTCTGCCACAGTCCGTTCTAACCAGAAGAGAGTCTGATGAAGCTGATTTAGAAAAATCAGCATGTTGAGTGTTAACCTTTTGAAAGCCATGGCCATAATTAAGGTTATTGATTTCAAAGAGGAATTCTCTGATACATTGTTTTTTCCACTTTCGCTGCTAGTAGTGGAGTAGCAAACACCACCAAAGGCAGACTCATCACCTTCCTGCTATGTTACAGACTGTGTACCACTTTTGGACTAGAATTTATATATAATTTTGTACCCTATCTTAAACTACAGAGTAGAGTTAGAAAACAACTGGGATTTAAGGTAATCAGAGCAAACTGTATACCCACCCCAACACCTCAAACCTTACACTTCTCATTCATTTTAGAGGGTATCTTTTTTCAGATCAGGGGCTCAGTCCTATTAGGAGCTGCTTTGAAATAACCTGCCTTCAGATAAGAGCTACATGTCTTGGTTACTAATACTGAGAGTTAACTCAAGCTTCATTCTTCCTTTCCAGAGTATCCTATAATCAGTTTTCCTAATGAGACTTTCAAACAAATGTAAATTGTGCAATAACCTTTTTATGTCACTCTATCTAGTAAAGATTAATTAAATTTTAACCTTGCTTTCACAAAGTAAACCTCTAAAATTTGCTTTTAAAGTATTTCTTATATGTAAAAATACAAGATAATTTCCATATAAATTAGGACACTTGCAATTTTTACTGCAATTTAACTAACTGATTAAGAAATTCTCTGTGGAGGAAGAATATAAACAGTAAATGAACAGTAATATAAACTTTCTTTTAACATGTCATTGGTTGAGCTTCAATTGCTGCAAGTATAGTCTGGACCCCCAAGGATATTTTCTTCTTGAAATATACCCTTTCTTATTTTGGATTTTAAAATTTGCCAGAAAATTCAAGTTATCTTTTCAGTAGAATCCTATGAAATGCAGGATAATTACAGACTCTCTGACAGAGTGCTAGTTTTGTCAAGGGAAAAGAGGCTCATGTTAATCTGTGTCATTCTTCCCTGCCTTTGATTCTGCTGAAGCTCGTGAGGACAGCATGACATGCTGACTCCAGGATAACTCCTAGGATGTGCCTGTATTAGTAAAAGCAATAGAAGCCTCACCGCTTCTGTGGTACACAGGCACAGTGGATTCATTTCCTATTGTTGGAGATGAAACCTCATTCCAATACTGAATAACTAGACTTTAGATTAATCTCTGATATTTTCTGTCATATTGTAATATATTTCCTAACATGGAAAAAATGGTATCATTTTCTTCTTTAACTTCAATATTTTAAGAATATCTACTTCGGGGTTCTGTTTCTGTTCCTGTAATGTGTTTTGCTTTAATATTGCCTATGCATTACCTTGCCCTGGCATAGGGTTTAATTTTATTGTTGCTTGTGTGAATATGAGATGGGTTATATGAAGAGGGTGTGGGGTGTCCATATTGAAAAGACAATGGAGAATTAAGCTAC